AACATCACCGCCCACAACTCCTTTGTGTTCTACTCGTGCATATCATCTACGCATAGACCTGGCTCGAATGCCACTGTTGGGGAACGTAGCATGCAATTTCAAAAAATCTCCTACGCTCATGCAAGATCTATCTAGGAGATGCATAGCAACGAGAGGGGGAGAGTGTGTCTACATATCCTCATAGACCAAAAGCGGAAGCGTTTTACAATGTAGTTGATGTAGTCAAACTTCTTCTCGTTCCAACCAATCAAGTACCGAACGTACGACACCTCCGAGTTCTGCACACGTTCAGCTCGATGACGTCCCTTGAACTCTTGATCGAGCAAAATTGTCAAGGAAGTAGATGAGTTCCGTCAGCATGACGGCATGGTGATGGTGATGGTGAAGTGATCCGCGCAGGGCTTCGCCTAGACACCGTGAGAATATGACCCATGGTGTAATCTGTGGAGGGGGGCGCCGCACATGGCTAACAGATGTTGTTGTGTGTTCCAGGCGCCCCCTCCCCATGTATATATAGGTGGGAGAGGGAGGTGAGCCGCAAAGGGCACCCCAAGTAGGAGGAATCCTACTTGGGTGCCTCCCCCAATTCGGCCTCCCCCCTTCCTTATTCACTGCAGGGGAAAGGAAGGAGGAGGGAGGAGGGAAGGAAGGGGGAGGCTGAATCCCCCCCCCCTTCCTTTCTCTCTTACCCTCTTTCCTTCCCCTCAGGTGCGGCCCATATGGGGGGGGGGGCGCAGCAGCCCCTGCTGGCTGCTGTGTTTTCCCTCTTGTCCCATTAGGCCCATATCTTTGCTGGGGGGGGGGTGCCCGGAACCCCTTCTAGTGACCCGATATGTACCCGGTACCCTCCAGAACACTTCCGGTGTCTGGAAACTATCATCCTATATATCAATCTTTACCTCTCAACCTTTCGAGACTCCTTGTCATGTCTGTGATCTCATCCGAGACTCCGAACAACATTCGGTCACCAAATCACATAATTCATATAATACAAAATCGTCATCAAACGTTAAGTGTGTGGACCCTACGGGTTCGAGAACTATGTAGACGTGACCGAGACACCTCTCCGGTTAATAACCAATAGTGGAACCTGGATGCTCATATTGGCTCCTACATATTCTACGAAGATCTTTATTGGTCGAACCGTTATGACAACATATGTTATTCCCTTTGTCATCGGTATGTTACTTGCCCAAGATTTGATCATCGGTATCCACATATGTAGTTCAATCTCGTTACCGACAAGTCCCTTTCCTCGTTTCGTAATACATCATCCCGCAACTAACTCATTAGTCACTTTGCTTGCAAGGCTTCATATGATGTGTATTACAAAGAGGGGCAAGAGATACCTCTCGGATACTCGGAGTGACAAATCCTAATCTCGATCTATGCCAACCCTATAAACACCTTCGAATATACCTGTAGAGCATCTTTATAATCACCCAGTTACGTTGTGGCGTTTGATAGCACATAAGGCATTCCTCCGATATCCGGGAGTTGCATAATCTCATAGTCGGAGGAATATGTATTTGACATGAAGAAAGCAATAGCAATAAAACTGAACGATCATTATGCTAAGCTAATGGATGGGTCATGTCCATCACATCATTCTCCTAATGATGTGATCCCATTCATGAAATGACAACACGTGTCTATGGTTAGGAAACTTGGTCATCTTTGATTAACGAGCTAGTCTAATGGAGGCTTACTAGGGACATGCTGTTTTGTCTATGTATCCACACATGTATTAAGTTTCTGGTTAATAAACATTTATCATGAAATAAGGAAATATAAATTAACAGCTCTATTATTGACTCTAGGGCATATTTCCTTCAAGGGTGATGGGCCCAAGACCCCTGTGCGCCTAGGATGTAGACCATCGTACTGACCTCTTTGTTGAGCCTAGGTGGGACTACGCTGTGTCGATCAGCCGAGACCGGGTATGATCTGATGGTGTGCCCGGCCCGAGTTAATCGAGCTTGATGGGTAAGATTGTGCACCCCTATAGGAAAGTTAATCTATTTGAATAGTCGTGTACACAGTAACGGACGCTCGGAGTTGTATCTGATCGATACAACTAGAACTGGATGTTGAGGCATGAAAAGGATATGATGGCTCCGGAATTGCTTTCTCGCAGGGAGTCGAGAAAGGATCTCTGAGAGCTAATGCTACAACATACTTGCTAATTATGATATGCCATTTTGTACTCTTCTAAATGTTGCAAGATGCTTGAAGATGTTAGTCTTTGATAGGCTAGGATTTCCCTTCTCTTCTGGCATTTATGCATCCTAGTCCAAAGATACAGGCCCTTCCTTTGATACTGATGGATACTTAGCATAGATCTGATGTAAGTCTTGCGAGTACTTTGGATGAGTACTCACGGTTTCTTTTCTACCTCTTTTCTCCTATACTCAGTTGCTGCGATAAGATGACGGATCCCAGGAGCCAGATGACACCATTAACGACTACTTCTACCCCGCGAATGCCTACTACTACGTTGAAGCCACCGACGACCAGGAGTAGTTAGGAGGCTCCCAGGCAGGAGGCCTTGCCTTTTCGATCGATGTTGCTTTTGTGCTAGCCTTCTTAAGGCAAACTAGTTTACTTTATGTTGGCATTCAGATAGTGTTGCTTCCGCTGACTCGTTTGTATTCGAACTAATGTATTCAAGCCCTCGAGGCCTATGGCTTGTAATATGAAGCTTGTATGACTTTAATTTGTGCCTAGAGTTGTGTTGTGATATCTTCCAGTGAGTCCCTGATCTTGATCGTACACATGTGCATTTATGATTAGTGTACGATTGAATTGGGGGCGTCACAGGCGGCAACCCTGGATCTTCGGTGGTGGCAGCCTCTTATTCGAGTGGACGATGCGGAGGCTAGGTCTCGAGGTGGTGATAGCCTCTTGAGGCTGGCGGGGTATGGGACACACCCTCCACCGAGAGATTGAATTTGGTGTGGCCTGGCGGGTAAGACATGCATATATTCCGGAGGCGTCAAGTCATGCTTGTCACCGGCGGGTGCTAGCACGACTTCTCATGTGGAGACGTCAAGTCATGCCTACTCTCGGCATGTGCTGCATGGTGGCTCTGGTGGAGGTGTCATGGTTTCCGTGTTGCTACTAGACCGAGGGTGATGCGACAATGACGGGAGGCAAGACGGTGTGGGACATCTTTGTCTGTGAGGATCTCTTCCTTCGGTATGTTCCTATCAAGGTGTTAGTAGCCAGACAAGTGTTGATGGTAGAGGTGGCTTCAACAATGAGCATGCGCATTCTGGTGGAAACACAAGATCTCCGATAAGACTATCATCTCGTGCCTGCGTCGTGCCCTTGCTGAAGATGGTGGATTGAAACTTGGCTTTAGGGATAAAAATCCCGAGATCGACCTTGGGTTGGATTCATCATCATCGGCGTACATGCGATGATTTCTTCTTGAAGGCTTAGCTTAGGAGTTGTGTATATTTTTTTTGTTTTGTTTTTATCTTTTATCATACTGTTAGTGGTTGTCTGGTGGGGATACTGTCGCGAGGCATGCGGCCTCGGTTTTTTCCCGTGTCGATGTTGTATGCCTGCTGGATTTTAAATAATAAAAAATATATAAATGTGTGCATAACTCGACGTAGAGGCTGGAGGTTATACTCCTCTAAGAAACTATATAGTTAGTGCAGCTACAGACCACACACGTACCTAGAGCCAGGGCTCCGCCTCCTCCTCCTTCACCAAGAAAGAAAGTTAGGGTTCGTGCCTCTCGTCGGCGCCGGCGCAGGTCCGCCTCGTCTTGGGTGGCCTTAGGGCCATGGAGGCGCGGTGGATCCTGCCAAGGGCCGGTGGGAGGGCTCCGTTTTTAGTAGTTTTTTTCAATCTTGTTAGGGTTTGTGTCCTACTCAGGAAGGCGAGACGGTGGCGGCTCCCTGAAGATGGAATAAATGTCTCCCCGCTTAGCCCCCGTTCCGGCGGTGCGTCTAGCATCGTTGGTGGGCGCGTGGAGGTGTGTCTCCGGCAGATCTATCTTTGGTGGATTTGCTCGGATCTTGTCGTTGTTCGTTTACGTCCGTGTGTCCTCGGTTTCGATCTTCCGATCTACGGCGGCGGTTGCTGTTCTGGGGTGCTGGTCCTATGGGGCCTTAGAACGACGACTTCCCGACTGTCTACTACAACAAGTTGTGCCCGGCTCCGGCGATGGAGGGGCGATGACGGCGGCGTGCCTTCGGCTCGCTTTGGAGCTTGTAGTCGTCGTTAGGTGGTCTACGAATTTGGATGTAATTTTTATTTCTGATATTCGTTGTACTGCCATGATTGAAGATGAATAGATGAGAAGTTTTTCCAAAAAAACTATACAGTTAAGCGCAATTAGAAATTCTCAAAACCTTCAAAGATTTTACAATTCGCATAGATATTGGGATTCACGAGAAGGCAAAGTGAAGTACTTTCTTGACATAGTACTACTTTCCTCGGTTGAAATAAATTGAACTGCCCCGCAAAAAAGGAAAGAAATAAATTGAATTGCACACGAGACACAACCTTCATGAATTGCATGAATCAATCTTTAATTTATATGGAGAATAAAACGAGCATGTGGAGAGATTTGGTGACCGGCTTCTGCGTTCATTGCTGTAGTAACCTGCCTCATCGACACAGTGAGTATCAGATGCTGATAAACTAATGCAAATATAATCTTAATGAAAATATATTTTATAAGTTCTCAATTTTAGAGCTTATTAGGTCAAAGCATCGCTTGCTGGGAAAGATAAGATCTCATCCCAGCTCCCGAAAACAGATCGTATCATATATGATCTTTTTAAGCAGATCACTTCACATGCGCGCATTAATTATCGGATCATATTTTCCGTTGGTAACACATGCATAGATCTTCCCGGGCACATGGCGAGGTATCACCGAACGACTTGGACTTCCTATATAATGGAGCCTTGCATTTGGCATTTTCATCAACACCTGGTCAGCACATCCAGTAAAGCACACATCCAGGAAGAAACCTAGAGATGAAGGGCCTCTTGCTGTGCGCGCTTGCACTTGCCTTTGCGATGGTGACCACCCACGCCCAGCTGCAGTACTGTGAGAAGCGCTGCGGCAAGCAGGCCGACGGCATGGAGTGCCCCAACAACCTCTGTTGCAGCAAGGATGGGTACTGCGGCTTGGGCGTCAACTACTGCAGCCCTGCCGCCGGCTGCCAGAGCGGCGCCTGCTCCGACAACAAGATCTGCGGCGCGCAGGCCGGTGGTGCATTGTGCCCTAACAACCATTGTTGTAGCTCGGGCGGTCGTTGTGGCTATGGCAGTGAATACTGCAGTGGCAGCCGCGGCTGCCAGAGCGGTCCTTGCTGGGCTGACCTTAAGTGTGGCCACCTCGCCAATGGTAAGCAATGCCCCAATAACCTTTGCTGCAGCCAACATGGTTATTGTGGCTTAGGACCGGAGTTCTGCGGTGTTAGGTGCCAAAACGGCGCCTGCAGCATGGACAGGCCGTGTGGCAATAAGGCTAATGGTGCACGATGCACCAACAACTATTGTTGTAGCCCGAATGGATCTTGTGGACTTGGCAAGGATTATTGTGGTACCGGCTGCCAGAGCGGTGCATGCTACACTCCTTCCTTCCTGGCTAACATACTCAAGTGTGTACCTTGAATTGTTGCCATGGAAGTATGAGTGTTGCAGTGAGGAGAAATAATCAGTGGCAATAGCTAATGCTATTGTCCCAAATTAAGTTTTACTTGTACCAGCTACATATCGTTTTCAAGCTGTCGGCAGTTGTCCTAATTAGTACACTATTCTGTTTTGTTGCCATCGTGTTATGTTATTGTATGATCTGGTGGTACTATATATCGCCACTTGTTTTAGAGCAACTTCCTTTCAATACACAACTGGTGTTGCCATATCTTTACCTGTTGTACTCATGGTTATTCTTGCTAAAAAAACAGAAGAAATACAATAGAACTGTGAATGGAAAATGACGATCATTGTTAACAAAAAAATGGCATCACTGGAACAATTTTTTCCTGCTACGAATTGTACTATTGAAGGTAAATTACATGTGTGGCAAACGAGAGGCTTGACTACCGTGGACACTGGATCACAGACGCTAAAATACATTTATGTCTGTTGTGGCAGTAAGCTCATTTTGGATATTTAGAGAAGACAACAAAAGCCCACCATATGGCACTGCGGGTATTAGAGCATCACTAATGTGGACCCTAAACCGCCCGCATCCATGTGAACCACACAGTCCGGACATGTTTTGCCATCCAGCGCAGTTCAGTATCTGTCCGCGGACCGGTTCGGACGTGCTTTTCCCGCAAACCTGAAGCAAACCAAGGAGACTGTGTGGGCGTCTGAACCGCTGCCACACGCGCATCCGACAACCCTACCCCACCCAAAACCCTCTCCTGCCTCCTCTGTGCTTTCTCCCCAACGGATGCGCTGCTTCCGGCGCCACATTCATGCCGGTCTAGAGCCGCAACAACAGACATTGATGTCGCGTGATGTGACCTGACAAGAGGGCGGTGCTAATCCACGCGACCTCTTGGGCGACGCCGCTTCAATGCAGACGTGTCATCCCAAGAAACCATCTCCGACCGCTATGCCGCATTGAAGCGGGTCGAGCGTTTGTTTGCTTGATTTGGTCACGGCTATTTAAGCACGGCGCCGACGCCGTCCACAACACACTCTCCATTCCACATCTCCACGCACCTCCGCCACTCCCCTCTTCACCAGGGATGGGCAAATCTTAGGCCTCAGTGCCAGCAGGAGGCTCCGGCTCTTGATCATGGCGCGCTGCGCACTTTGTGGCTGTCTTGCTCCTTAGCGGTCGGCTCGTCCACGAAGGAGGAGATCGCCATCTCCTCTGACGACGAGGAGGACCAGCCACCGCCGCAAACGCATGTGATCTTGCATGACATGGTATATGCGGTGACGGATGCTGAGTACTAAATGGAGTTGATGCTTCATCGCTGGCTCCTCCAAAACATTGGTCCAGGGGCCCCACTGGGACGTTTCTCCATGCTATCAAACCGGAGCCTCCTTTGTAGAAGTGCATGCCCTAGCCAATGCAACCAAAAGACCGATCTGATGAAAGAGACTAAGCGACACATTATACGTCAACACTCCACCTCACGTGTGGCTCCCTTGTGCCTAAACGTGAATCGAAAGTGGGCTGCAATATAACTGCGCCAGCTAGGTCTTGAACTCAAGACCTCTTGGCTCTGATACCATGTAGAAGTGCATGCTCTAGCCAATACAACTAAAAATCAATCTAATGGAAGGGACTAGGTGTAACGCCCGGGTGGTTATGCTACAGTAATCGTCCCGGTTCGGTTAAATAACCTCTCGTTAATTCGGACCCGTCCTAAAACAAAATTTAAAACTAAAACAAATGATAACGAGTTCCGAAAATAAGTTCTAAAATGTTCCGGGGTTTTCTAAAATAACTAACCTAATATTGGTGGGGTGCAATAATTTTTACAAAATGCCAGAGCATTTTAAATAAACCAATAACAGAAAAAGAAAATAATAAATGAAAAGCAAAATAAAAGAGAGGGGGATAACCCCCCCCTGGCCCAGCCAGCCGGCCCCCTCCCCACTCCCCCTTTCGGCCCATTCCCCTCCCCCCCCCATGGGCCGACCCACCGGCCCAGCC